GGTCCGGTTTCTTGGTAGAACCCTATTTAGCCTAAGTTGTTTTGGAACTGGAAAACAGAAACGGTAGAGATGCAAGAGATGCCAGAGCCACTAGCCCGAAGAGACCAACAAACGATAGGTCATAGGGATGGCTAGAAGATGGTTGAGGGTGGAGAGAGACTTGGAAGGTCGAACTTTTGCTAAATGGTTGGTACTACCCTCACGATATGGTGTAATATTCTACCAAAGAGGGTTGTGAAAGGAAATAAAGTTGATCACTACGAATGTTACCATTCATTCAATTGGGAGATTCCATGATATTTCGTCCTTTTCTTCAATTTGGTCCCTAGCAAAGTCTTGTGCGAAGCGACCAACCTCATGCAAGCTATTAAACTATTGGCAAGCGAGTGGGATGAATATAGAAAAATGACTGTTAAGAATAGTAGGGTAATATGTATAAATTGTTAATAGTAAGAGGATGTATGTGTAATTCTTATTAGTGTAGGTTAACTATAAATACAAATGATGTATGAGAGTTAGATTAAGTTTTTAACCTCTCTCTTTCTCCCTAATATTATGTTATGTTAATTTTCTAAACTTAACATGGTATCAGAGCAAAACCAATACAAATTTTAAACTAGTTCACAGTTGTATGAATTTTTTAACTATTTTGGTTCTATGGTCGACGTTGTACTGTTCATCGAGTTTTGCTTTAGTGATGTAGTTGACTAGTTCCGCATCAGGGTGGCTTTTGGTTCTGTAGTCGACTGGTTGTTCTTGGCGTTAGGTTGGTGTGGCTACTGTTTGTTGGCTGTCAATGTTGTGCTGCTCGTCGACTGGTGTTGGTTGTTCATCATCGTAGGTGGTGGTGCTGTCGCTCGTTGCGCAGTCATTCGTCGTTGTTTGTGTTGAGGTTCTGTTGTGTCGTTTGTCGTGGTGTTGTGGTTCTGCTGTGGAGTTGATTGTTGTTGTTGTTGTGGTGTGTCATTCGTTGTTAGTGGTAAGTTGCAGTCGGAACTGAGGAGTCTTCTGGAACCCTAACCAACGAAGAAGATAAAGTCCAGACTCGGTTCAACTTAAATCGGTTTGGTCTCGGTTCAACATAGTTTCTGTGGTTCAAACCGGTTCAGTGATCCAGAGAGTCAAATCGGCCCGGTTCAGTGATCCAGAGAGTTAAACCGGTCTGGTTTAGCGGTCCAGAGGACTCAGCGTGTTCGGTTCAACAGTCCAGCGTCTTTTCCTTCCCTGGTTCAGTGGTCCAGTCCGCTTTCCAGCCCAATTCAGCAGTGCAGTACACTTCTGCAGTGCGGTTCAGCAGTGCTGTACACCTCTGCAGTCCGATTTACTTAGTTTTTACACCGGTTCAGCTTGGTTCAGTTGGTTTCTACTCCAGTTCAGCTTGGTTCAGTTAGTTTCTACTCGGGTTCATTAGTCCAGCGTTCTCTTGCAACATTTCTTGTTTGCTATTTGCTGCACCATTATGAAACCCAAGCAAGATACCAAGTCCCAGCAACAGGCTGTCCCATTTCCCTCCACTACTACTTTTGCCCAGTCAGGTATTGCTTGGACTCGCAGTCCCTAGATCATAGACTCTGGCGCTTCTGACCACATGACTAGTGAGTCTAATGTTTTTTCTACTTATCAGTTTGCTACTTCCACACGTAGTGTTACTCTTGCTAATGGTAGTTATTCTTGTTCTAAATTTTTAGGTTTGGGGACTGCTCACTTGAGTCCTGATATGTCCCTATCTTACGTGTTATTTGTTCCTCAGTTTCCTTTTAGTTTACTTTCCATTAGTAAGATTACCCGTTCTCTGAAATATTTCGTAATCTTTTATCTCTTTTATTGTGTCTTTCGGGATCTCAAGACAAAGAGGAAGATTGGTATGGGGCATGAAGCTGATGACCTATATTACCTTGACTTTGATTCACCTACTCAGGTTCTACAAACCTCGTTATCTCCTTTTCAATGACATTGTCGTGTTGGACATCCCTCTCTCCAGAATCTGAAGCGCCAAGTTCCCAGCCTTAGTTATGTGTTGTTTTTGTCTTGTGAAGCTTGTCAACTTAGTAAGCATCACCGTGTGTCTTTTCAATCTAGAATCAATAATCGTGTGTCTAGTCCATTTGAGTTAGTATATTCTGATGTATAAGGTCCCATAAAGAATATTTCATCTAATAAATATCCTTATTTTGTGATATTTGTAGATGACTATTCTCGTATGACTTGGTTGTTTTTAATGAAAGGTCGGTCTGAATTATTCTCTATATTTGAGACCTTTCGTAAGGAATTAAAAACTCAGTATGGTTATCATATACGTACTTTACGTTCCGATAATGCTCGAGAATTTGAATCTGATCCTTTTTCAGCTTATCTTAGTAAAACTGGCATTATTCATCAGACTTCTTGTGCTTACACCTCTTCACAGAATGAAGTTGCTGAACGCAAGAACCGTCATTTGTTGGAAATCACTCGTGCCCTGTTATTCCAGATGAATATTCTCCGATATTTTTGGAGTGATGCTGTTCTTACTGCTTGTCACTTTATTAATCGTATGCCATCCTCTGTGTTAAATGGGCAAAGCCCATATTCTGTTATTTTTCCTGTTAAACCCTTATTTTCCCTAACTCTTAAGATTTTTGGTTGTGTCTGTTATGTTTATAATTTGGGTCCTGAGTTTGACAAACTTGACCCTCGAGCTACCAAATTTGTATTTCTTGGTTACTCCTGCACACAGAAGAGGTATCGTTGCTACAGCCCTTCTCTGCACCAATACTTTACTAGTGCGGATGTCACATTTGAAGAATCTGTTTCATACTTTTCAGCACCTTCTCAGCCTTTGGATCTAGACTTTGGATCCTCTTCTGTACCATCATCTTTTCCTTATCTTCAGATATTCCGCTACAAACTATGTTACCATCTACTTTACCTCTCCGTGTCTTTTCTCGCCGTTCTCGCCCATCGACTGAGGTGCCCGTACCGTCTTCCTTGTCGCCTTCTGAACTTGGTACATTAGGTAATTTAGATTCTTTACCTATTGCTCTTCGCAAAGGTACTCGTTCTTGTGTTACTAATCATCTCATTTCTCATTCTGTTTCATATGATGTCTTGTCTCTTGTCTTTTCCTGTTTTACTTCTCAATTATCTGCTATATCTATTCTTAAGCATTTACAGGATGCATTATCTGATCAGGGTTAGAGGAAAGCTATGGAGGAGGAGATAGATGATTTACATCATAATGCGACTTGAGATCTTGTTCCTTTACCCTCTGATAAATAAACTGTTGGCTATCGTTGGGTGTATACTGTTAAATTTCATCCAGATGGTTCTGTGGAGCGTCTCAAAGCCTGGGTTGTTGCAAAGGGCTTTACTCAGACTTATGGTGTTGATTATGAGGAGACTTTTTCTCCTGTTACCAAAATTTTCTCTGTTCGTATCTTGATTTCTTTGGCTGCTAATCTTGATTGACCCCTGTTTTAGTTAGATGTCAAGAATGCCTTCTTACATGGTGATTTGGTTGAAGAAGTATACATGGAGCAGCCACCTGGTTTATTGCCCAGGGGGAGTATGGGAAGAGTGTATGTCGGTTAAAAAAATCTTTGTATGGTTTGAAGCATTCACCGAGAGCATGGTTTGGTAAGTTTTCAGATGCAATTTTAGAGTTTGGTCTTCTTCGATGTCAGACAGATCATTTTGTGTTTCATAGACATACAGATGCTGAGTATGTCCTATTGGTGGTCTATGTAAATGATATTTTGATTGCTGGAAATGATTCTGAGGGGATTATCAAGTTAAAAATATTCTTACAGGATCGATTTCATACTGAGGATTTGAAAAAATTCAAGATATTTTTTGGGTATTGAGGTGGCTCGATCTAAACAGGGTATTTGTTTATCTCAGAGGAAATATATACTTGACATGCTTGAGGAAGCAGGTTTGCTGGGTGGTAGATCGATTGATGTTCCTATGGATCCGAATCAGAATTTATTGATGGATGATGGTGTATTGTTTGAGAATCCGAGTCGGTATCGCAGATTGGTTGGAAAGCTTAATTACCTCACTATTACTTGACCGGATATTTCTCAGTATTGTAAGTCAGTTCCTGGAATGTCCTAGAGTACCACATTGGGAGGAAGTTACTCGTATTCTGCGATACTTCAAACGAGCTCCTGGACTTGGACTGTTATATCGAACTAATGGACATCTTAGAGTGGAAGGTTTCTCCGATGCTGATTGGGCTGACTCTCCTTTTGATCGGAGATCAACCACTGGTTACTGTATTTTCTTAGGAGGTAATGTTGTCTCATGGAAAAGTAAGAAACAACTCATGGTAGCAAGATCCAGTGCTTAGGCTGAGTATAGGGCAATGACACATACGACGAGTGAGTTGACTTGACTACTACACTTCCTCCAGGAAATTGGGTTTCTAGTTAAACTTCCTTTACAGTTGTTCTGTGACAACTAGACAGCTATCTATATCGTTGTCAATCCTGTGTTTCACGAGAGAATCAAGCATATTGAGATTGATTGTCACTTTATTCGGGACAAGATAGTAGCGGGGCAGATTACAACTCTATTTGTGAAATCTGAAGATTAGCTTGTAGATATGTTTACAAAAGCATTGAGTCGTACACGTCTTACAACTATTTGTTCCAAGCTTAGATTGTATGATATATATAGTCCAGCTTGAGGGAGAGTGCTAAGAATAGTAGGGTAATATGCGTAAATTGTTAATAGTAAGAGGGTGTATGTGTAATTCTTATTAATGTAGGTTAACTATAAATACAAATGATGTATGAAAGTTAGGTTAAGTTTTTAACCTCTCTCTTTCTCCCTAATATTATATTATGTTAATTTTCTAAACCTAACAGACTCTAATTGCTCTTTCCCAAAAAAGCTTGTTTCGAGCTAGGTCTAAACGAGCCAAAAGTGAGTCAAGCTGGAGTTGCTGGAGTTACTGGAAGTTAGTCATACACGGCTATTCATGGACATATTGCTTGACTTATGTGGGGCATTTTTTCATGTTTAGAAGTAATTGTCGATGCAGCCACAATTTCAGATGCAATTGAATGCTGTTGAGTTTTTCATTCTCTTTCCCAATATTCAGATACTATTCTTGCAGGCCTTGGATGCTCATGGATGCAGGACAATTCCCTGTGTCATGATACTGTTCCCAACCAAGGAAGGAGGCCGGGACCATTACGTTCTGTGTTTCCAACAGCACCTGCGGAAGTTTCCTCCCTGAAGGACCTTTTTGAATTCATATGCTCAGGGCCCCTTGTAAAAAAATTGGGTCTGACCTCAGAGATGATTGCTGAGTCTATTGACAAGTGGATAAAGTGTGGTGTACACCTATGCAGATTATTTCAGCTCAATGAACTGTACCTGACAATACCTGAGAAAGCTAGGTTTTATCACTACTATATACCAGTCTTCTTGTGGTGTGAACAGAAAATTTCCCATCATATGTCCAAGTTTAAAGATGAAGAAGATGTCCCTCCTTTAGTGGTATATATCCTCTGTGAAAGTAATTCCTTAGTTTTGTTGTTCATGTTAGGTTTGGACTTAACTGGCTGATTAAGTTTCATCTCATTGCCTAGGGGTGCAATGTAATAGACAGACAGAGTTATACAGATATCGAATTTAATAGACTCTGCTAAGCTGGCATCTTTTGCTGATGCAGATTGGTTTTAGTGCGCCACAAGGTTCTGGGAAAACAACGCTCGTCTTTGCATTAGATTTTCTTTTTCGAGTCTCTGGGAGGTAGATTGCACCACTGAGATATCTATTAAATATAAGCAATATTATTGAATGAAATTATAAGAAAACATGGACACTGTTACTTGCTGACACATATCAATTCTCAGGAAGTCTGCAACATTATCCATAGATGATTTCTACTTAACAGCAGAGGATCAGGTAATATATTCTGGAGAGTATCTGGTAGTTGCTTCCCTACGACTTTGTTTTCATCTTCTGATGCATTTGTGATTCTATTTTAGGCTAAACTGAGAGAAAGCAATCCAGGAAATGCACTTTTAGAGGTAGCAATTAACATTCTTCTTTAAAAGATTTTCAGCTCGATACTGTTGGTAGCACTTAAGACTCTTTCCTCACACCCAGTTGCGTGGAAATGCTGGAAGCCATGATCTTGCATTGTCTGTTGAAACACTGACAGCTCTAGGCAAATTGACTAAAGAAGGTGTGAGAGCTTCCCTTATTTTTCTTTAAATTATGCTCATCTGTTCTCCAATTGGTCTTTAATTCGGTGTAGAAAATGAATTGTTTCTCCAATATGTTCAGGTCTGAAGATGAAGCTACCACGGTATGATAAAGTAGGCACAACATATTCTTTTTTAATTTCTCAGTTGTGTTCTGAGTGGAGGTTTGCTTACAGTAATGTTTTTGTGCAGTCCGCATACGGTGGTAGGGGCGACAGAGCTGATCACTCCACATGGCCAGAGGTTGAGGGACCACTAACGGTAGGACTTAGGAGTAACAACAATTTAGAGCTGGTAATGAATGGGTTCAAAGTTGGGTGGCCATAAAACCACGGGTCACACTCTTTTGCCATGCAGACTATATCAATGATAACATTATATGTCAAAAATTCAATCAGATAAAAGTATGCTTGGTATTTAGAACTATTTGGTTCGTTGTGAACCAGTTGGTCATGGTACAAACCTGAAACTTGTTGGTTGCATGGGTATTGTTAAATTTTCCAGTTTTACTTAATTTCCTCCAGAAAAAGCAATTGATATCTTGATTCTCTCATCATTTAATATGTTCTCTTGGTGGTTATTTAGGTTGTTCTATTTGAAGGTTGGATGCTTGGTTTCAAACCCCTTCCTGTTGATGTTGTCAACGCTATTGATCCACTGGTTAGAGGACTTGAGTCATTGTCAGGGGCATTTGTGCTTTTCCATCATGTTTGTCTGATATTGGCAATTTAGCTGAACCCTTATTTTTGCAGCTGGAGACGGTGAATAAAAATTTAGAAGCTTATTATGAAGCATGGGACAAGTTTATAAACGCATGGATAGTTATCAAGATTAAAGACCCAAATTGTGTCTACAAGTGGCGATTGCAGGTTGGTCATCATGTTAGGATCCTTGTGCACGTTACTTCCAGAAAATTTTTATCTTTTGCAATACTTTCATAAGTGGTCATTGGGGAAACTGCAGGCTGAGATTGCCATGAGAGCAGATGGGAAGCCTGGGATGTCTGATGATGAGGTGGAGTCAGATATATATATACATCCTCTATGAGTATCACGCTTTGTTGCTCCAATGGAAGCTGCACTGGTTTCCAATTCATGGAATTAAAGTACTCTTTGGGCTTATTTTCAGGTTATGGATTTCGTTTCACGATACTTGCCAGCATACAAGGCTTACCTCCCTACGTTGTACGTAGAAGGACCAAATGGGTCAGCCCCGGAGCATGCCCTTGTTATCGAAATTGATGAAGGAAGAAACCCTGTCCATGGTGACTAGGAAGTGTTTTTTTGGATACAAAATTGCAATGCACCACTTCTAATCTTGTGGAAGATGTAATTGGGTTTGGGGATGCACAGTAAAAAGCATCATCACTCACATTGTAGTCATTGTAATTTTCCTTTTTCTGTAATTGTGAGTTACTTTAACCGTANAATCCTGTGTTTCACGAGAGAATCAAGCATATTGAGATTGATTGTCACTTTATTCGGGACAAGATAGTAGCGGGGCAGATTACAACTCTATTTGTGAAATCTGAAGATTAGCTTGTAGATATGTTTACAAAAGCATTGAGTCGTACACGTCTTACAACTATTTGTTCCAAGCTTAGATTGTATGATATATATAGTCCAGCTTGAGGGAGAGTGTTAAGAATAGTAGGGTAATATGCGTAAATTGTTAATAGTAAGAGGGTGTATGTGTAATTCTTATTAATGTAGGTTAACTATAAATACAAATGATGTATGAAAGTTAGGTTAAGTTTTTAACCTCTCTCTTTCTCCCTAATATTATATTATGTTAATTTTCTAAACCTAACAGACTCTAATTGCTCTTTCCCAAAAAAGCTTGTTTCGAGCTAGGTCTAAACGAGCCAAAAGTGAGTCAAGCTGGAGTTACTGGAAGTTAGTCATACACGGCTATTCATGGACATATTGCTTGACTTATGTGGGGCATTTTTTCATGTTTAGAAGTAATTGTCGATGCAGCCACAATTTCAGATGCAATTGAATGCTGTTGAGTTTTTCATTCTCTTTCCCAATATTCAGATACTATTCTTGCAGGCCTTGGATGCTCATGGATGCAGGACAATTCCCTGTGTCATGATACTGTTCCCAACCAAGGAAGGAGGCCGGGACCATTACGTTCTGTGTTTCCAACAGCACCTGCGGAAGTTTCCTCCCTGAAGGACCTTTTTGAATTCATATGCTCAGGGCCCCTTGTAAAAAAATTGGGTCTGACCTCAGAGATGATTGCTGAGTCTATTGACAAGTGGATAAAGTGTGGTGTACACCTATGCAGATTATTTCAGCTCAATGAACTGTACCTGACAATACCTGAGAAAGCTAGGTTTTATCACTACTATATACCAGTCTTCTTGTGGTGTGAACAGAAAATTTCCCATCATATGTCCAAGTTTAAAGATGAAGAAGATGTCCCTCCTTTAGTGGTATATATCCTCTGTGAAAGTAATTCCTTAGTTTTGTTGTTCATGTTAGGTTTGGACTTAACTGGCTGATTAAGTTTCATCTCATTGCCTAGGGGTGCAATGTAATAGACAGACAGAGTTATACAGATATCGAATTTAATAGACTCTGCTAAGCTGGCATCTTTTGCTGATGCAGATTGGTTTTAGTGCGCCACAAGGTTCTGGGAAAACAACGCTCGTCTTTGCATTAGATTTTCTTTTTCGAGTCTCTGGGAGGTAGATTGCACCACTGAGATATCTATTAAATATAAGCAATATTATTGAATGAAATTATAAGAAAACATGGACACTGTTACTTGCTGACACATATCAATTCTCAGGAAGTCTGCAACATTATCCATAGATGATTTCTACTTAACAGCAGAGGATCAGGTAATATATTCTGGAGAGTATCTGGTAGTTGCTTCCCTACGACTTTGTTTTCATCTTCTGATGCATTTGTGATTCTATTTTAGGCTAAACTGAGAGAAAGCAATCCAGGAAATGCACTTTTAGAGGTAGCAATTAACATTCTTCTTTAAAAGATTTTCAGCTCGATACTGTTGGTAGCACTTAAGACTCTTTCCTCACACCCAGTTGCGTGGAAATGCTGGAAGCCATGATCTTGCATTGTCTGTTGAAACACTGACAGCTCTAGGCAAATTGACTAAAGAAGGTGTGAGAGCTTCCCTTATTTTTCTTTAAATTATGCTCATCTGTTCTCCAATTGGTCTTTAATTCGGTGTAGAAAATGAATTGTTTCTCCAATATGTTCAGGTCTGAAGATGAAGCTACCACGGTATGATAAAGTAGGCACAACATATTCTTTTTTAATTTCTCAGTTGTGTTCTGAGTGGAGGTTTGCTTACAGTAATGTTTTTGTGCAGTCCGCATACGGTGGTAGGGGCGACAGAGCTGATCACTCCACATGGCCAGAGGTTGAGGGACCACTAACGGTAGGACTTAGGAGTAACAACAATTTAGAGCTGGTAATGAATGGGTTCAAAGTTGGGTGGCCATAAAACCACGGGTCACACTCTTTTGCCATGCAGACTATATCAATGATAACATTATATGTCAAAAATTCAATCAGATAAAAGTATGCTTGGTATTTAGAACTATTTGGTTCGTTGTGAACCAGTTGGTCATGGTACAAACCTGAAACTTGTTGGTTGCATGGGTATTGTTAAATTTTCCAGTTTTACTTAATTTCCTCCAGAAAAAGCAATTGATATCTTGATTCTCTCATCATTTAATATGTTCTCTTGGTGGTTATTTAGGTTGTTCTATTTGAAGGTTGGATGCTTGGTTTCAAACCCCTTCCTGTTGATGTTGTCAACGCTATTGATCCACTGGTTAGAGGACTTGAGTCATTGTCAGGGGCATTTGTGCTTTTCCATCATGTTTGTCTGATATTGGCAATTTAGCTGAACCCTTATTTTTGCAGCTGGAGACGGTGAATAAAAATTTAGAAGCTTATTATGAAGCATGGGACAAGTTTATAAACGCATGGATAGTTATCAAGATTAAAGACCCAAATTGTGTCTACAAGTGGCGATTGCAGGTTGGTCATCATGTTAGGATCCTTGTGCACGTTACTTCCAGAAAATTTTTATCTTTTGCAATACTTTCATAAGTGGTCATTGGGGAAACTGCAGGCTGAGATTGCCATGAGAGCAGATGGGAAGCCTGGGATGTCTGATGATGAGGTGGAGTCAGATATATATATACATCCTCTATGAGTATCACGCTTTGTTGCTCCAATGGAAGCTGCACTGGTTTCCAATTCATGGAATTAAAGTACTCTTTGGGCTTATTTTCAGGTTATGGATTTCGTTTCACGATACTTGCCAGCATACAAGGCTTACCTCCCTACGTTGTACGTAGAAGGACCAAATGGGTCAGCCCCGGAGCATGCCCTTGTTATCGAAATTGATGAAGGAAGAAACCCTGTCCATGGTGACTAGGAAGTGTTTTTTTGGATACAAAATTGCAATGAACCACTTCTAATCTTGTAGAAGATGTAATTGGGTTTGGGGATGCACAGTAAAAAGCATCATCACTCACATTGTAGTCATTGTAATTTTCCTTTTTCTGTAATTGTGAGTTACTTTAACCGTA